TTTATTTAATGTCCCTGCAAATTTTTGTAAATTATGATCTATTGCGGAATTATCTTGTAGTTAACCGATATTTGACGATATTTTCAGGATCGATTCATTATAAGTGTTACAAATAATAACGATTTTATAGTTGGTTGAAGAATCTGAGGAAACATATGAGTACCGAATGCGATTTATTATCAAGTTAATAATACTAATACAAATATGATATAAATCAAACTAAAAGAAGAATATGATGCCATCGAGAAAAAGCATTTGCTCTTCATAATTAGAACCTGAGATTTTCTTTAACCGCTATATGCATGATATTTTTATTACAGTTATATATGGCATGGATCTACACTTGTATATTTTATTGAAAGAAATTTTGCCAAATAGATTTTATTTTTATGTTTAAACTTCTTTTTGAAGTATATAATTATTGTAAATATATATGCTTACAATCAGTCTATAATTTATCAGTTTAATGAGAAATTAAAGATTAAATTACATGATTAAAAACGCCAGGTCTAACAGATCCATGCGATCAGGGTTAAAATGATTTTATTTCAGTTTTCTGCCAAAAAAATGCCGTGTCTTGGTAAAATAAATTATTAATGCAACTTTGGAAGTTTAACTTATTTATTGCAAATTCATGTGAAAAGTTTTTGTTTGTCAGCAGAATCAATTCACGACATTGGTATCTTACGAAGATTCGCACAATTTCATCAATTACATTAAGTAATCAATTTAGTATATTAAACAAAAATTTATTTTAATTTTCATCCTATTAAATCCGCCTTCTCATGCTATTAAAATTGTGAGCTTCGCACACAATTTTATCGCGACATATCTGCTAAATATCTTCAAGCACATATATTTTAACATTTTCCACAAGCAAAAATATTGGAAAAAGAATTAAAATGGATTCATTCATGGACTAATTCATAGATCTTGTACGTATATTATTTTCAGCTGAAATATTTTCTTTTGTATTTAAGAAGAGTATAATGTACATACGATCCATGGATGTCTTAACATTTCGCGGAAAATCTAATTTTGAGAGGAAAAAGTCAAATGTAAATAAATTCATAACGATTATAATAGTAATATTTCTTGTGTGAAAGTGCTTCAGAGACATGTTTTTGCCATATGCTATTACTAATTGTGAGATTGCGTCTTCAAAGCACTCTGCGGATAGAAAGACACTCGCTGGAAAGCATCCTTGTTCGCATCATGGTGGAATTTCTCTGGTTATTCCGCGCGACTATAAAATGATTTCCTCACTGACTAACATTTCTGTTGCAGGTGTCAAGCACGCGTGCCAATGGTGCGGACGAAACTTCTCGTGGCCATCGAGTCTACGTCTACATCAGAAAATGGCGTGCGGTAAACCGCCGAATTTCTGCTGCACCATTTGCGATTACAAGTCGAACTTCAAAGGCAACCTGAAGAGACACCTGTTTTGCAAGCACAATATAGATTTGTATTGACACACGCGCGATTAGACGAGACTATGCGTTTTTTTTTTTTTTTTAAAGAGAATCCCTTCTTCAAAAGGAGAAAAAGGAAATTATGTCTGTAATAAAATGTATCTATTTTAACACGTCCTATGATAATCTTCCTTTTAATCCTTCAATTTTTTTCCAGCTGCAGTTGTAGTTGAACGAATTGGTTTCCTCGCGGATTACTTCTGTTTCAGGTCGTAGATATCGAAAAGTGTCGATACGAGAGTAAGAGGCCGAAGTAAGTATGTATGTACAAAAAACAATCGCACGTGTGTTAGTTTTCTTCCTTGAAATTGAAGAAGCGCTTTTCGAGACGATCGATCATGCACGGATTTTCATGAGATCAGACGTTTTCTCGCTCTCGTAACGTTCATTCGCACGACTTCGGACGACGAATCCGAAGAGTGAATTTTGCTCGCGACACTCGAAAAGCGCCGTATCGCTAGATGGATCATCCCGAGGACGTCTTCGAGGAGAATCCATTCCCGACTTGCTCAAGGCATGCGCTTCGATGTATAGAGACTATCTTGGTTGCGTTCAACGCTTGTTACCTCGTGACCGTTCAAGCCTCTAGGCCCTAAATGGGCTCTCACGGGTTCGCACCACCCCGTTAGCGGGGATGAGACCCGATCCTCTCGCGGTCTTCGCGCTCTAACAGACGCTTCTCTTTTCAGATGCACCCCTCTTTCCAATCGTGAGGCCGCGGCTGCACGTGTGTCCCCGCTGCGGCCAGATGTACTCGTGGGCATCAAACCTGCGGAAACACCTCAAGATGGGCTGCGGCATGGTCACCTTCGAGACGCACTTTTCCTGCCAATACTGCCCCTACAGATCGAGGATCGAGGCGAGCTTCCTCAAGCACCTGCTCTCGGTGCACAACATCAAGTAGACGTCGCACTACGGCGACATTCCCGGTATCTCGCCGACTGACGTCTTCGATTCTTCCGTAATCGCGACGTATCCGCGAGGAATTCGTTCGAGGTTTTTCTCGCGATCAGAACGAACGAGAAACTCATCAATCTCGATGGTTCTTTCGTAGGAAGAAAAGAGCCTCGCCACGGTCTCCTTGAATCAAATAATCTGGTAGTCGGATAATATCATACGCTCTGCAGAACTGTCCTCCCGTATAGCTTCCCATGCTATGTTCTTATCTGATAAGAAGCTCGCGTATTCGAGCAAAAATTGGTGCGTTGCTTTCCGACGAGGAACTAAAATATTTGCTCGAATGATGACAGAAGCAGCGAGTATGCACAACGTTTATGTCCGATTGCTTTGAAGTTTATCGGAGCGTCGACTCTCGAAAACGTAAGACGTCGTATGTAGTTGTAATATGACACGTCATATCAATGATCTGTATAGGGTCTAACAATAAGTGTCGTACTATAGACTCTGTGTGATGTCGGCATTGACGTTCGAGACTCCGCGAGAGCGATACTCGTCTGTTTTAACTTATATATAAGTTGTGCTTGCGACGTTCGCCGATTTAACTCTCGGAGTTTTTATTTTATTTCAGATTATTTTAGGCCCTAACACGTGGAAGCTAGCTTCTTTCATTTGCAGAAATTGTTCAACGTGAGAAAAGTGACTTTGTAGATATTATCACATTTGAGTGAACAAAATCTAGTCTAAAGGCTGTTTCTTCCGTAAGATTTCAGAACTCAGAATAATGTGGATATTGTTTTTATATGTTTTAAGACAGAGTAGTACATCTTTTTAGGTACTTTGCTTAACATTAAGTAAAATGTGCAATTATAACTACAAACTATTAGAAATATGTTTCTGATTTTTATTGAAAAAGGATTCGAGTATATTCGCATCAAGAGTGATCGAAATGTTTGTCAATTCTTTCGAAAAATTTCGTTTGTTCAAAATTACTTGTATTAATTATATTCCAACTTGGGAATCGAATAATTTCCAACTATAACGAAAGATCTTCGTTATTTTTATAGGAATCTTCGTCATAAATGTTTTATCTTACCAAAGACTTTTCTACCTACACACAATTCTATTGGAAAAAGAAAAAAACGCTTTCTATTCACTATTGGTGCGATTAATAATATCCGAATATCATTATTCACAATTCGTAACTTCAATATCACGCGTATATATACGCGCGCGCGCGTGTGTGTATGTGTATGTGTGCAGAGTGGCAGGAAAGTCTGATTACTACCTAATGAGACATTAATGGTCATGTAACTATAAGTATAGCCGCCGGAAGATGTCGGAGGACGGCAACCATCGAAGACTACGTAATGATCTTAAAAGTCAAATCTGTAGGTCTAAGGATAAGCGATACTTAAACTTAAGAAGATGTCGATGGAGTCATTTTTTAACGCGATTAGTAATACGCTCTTGTACCGTCGATTATCGTGCATTATAGAGACTGCTCGAGTATAGTGCAATTTGACTGTAAATTACGCTAGCTCCAACTACACTTAGCCATGTGGCGTAGCGGATTTTAGACGACAGTTACTTACATTTATCGACGTACCGGCAATTAAACGTATCCAACAATCAGCCAGTAATTTTATTTACGATAATGTAACCGTGATTAGGGATAAGCATGCATCCGCGGCCCTCTTTTACAATAATATATACAGACTTCGATTAATATGAACATTGATTTTTCTTTTTAGGGCTTTATAACGCACGGTCATCCTGTTTTACAAACTGTTTTTACATCGTGCAACAATGAAACGAGAACGAAAGATATTATGTAGATCGTAGGTGAATTATTATCAGATACTCGAAACGCTGTATCGTCCCATTAATCACTTAAACGCATTAGTCATTTATCCAAATTCGAAACGCTAACTTCGACATTTCATAACATAGGAACGAAATAATACCTCGACGTAAAGACGTCTGAGCAGATTAAATGTAACGAAGCCTACACGGAAGCCTCGTAAACAGAAGAAGGTACAAGTTTAGGAAATTGCAGTAATTGCGTATCGAGAAATGCATGCTAACAAAATCGGGATTCACCTAATCACCCTAGTGATGGAATTTGTATCGATACTCGTTATAAAAATTTATTACCGCGAAGTTTCTTACTGTGTACGTGAATGATAACGTACATTCGGCAGATGATGATGTTATAGAGACGATAATAATATGAACCACCTGTCTACGAGACGCACCGCTAATGTACTTTATTCATTCGATAGATCAGTAGATCGATAGATCGGTGAAGCCACATGTCGCGTCGGCTGCGCTACGCAGCGATTAAGTGTTTGTGTAACAATGTTTCGCATTCGTTTGCTTTCTAAATAAATACCTGTGTACATATTCGCAGTCACGAGAAGATTCTTCGAACTGCATCCTTTCGTCTTTTCACACTTTACACATTTTATAAATTATTTTTCACGCGAAATCATAAAATGTCTTAATTTCAGAATCAAAATATAAATTGCATTAATTTTATCTCGAAAATTTTTTAAACTTTTATTTTTTTTTAAACTTTTATCAATTTTATATATATATATGTTCTTTAGAATGAGCGTATATATGAACCTCTTTCACACCGTTAAATCGGTTAGTACGCGTATCAAATTGGTGCGGATTAAATATTTGATACGTTATTTACATCGATCTATCTCAGAATGGACCAGGTTAGGTGACATGATGTCTACATTGCTTTTCAAGATATAAAAAACCTCTAATTCTAACTTTAACCTGAACTTAAAAGCAGTGGCGAATTTTAATTACGATTCAAAACGAAACAAGCGTTTACAGCACGCTAAGATTCTTTGATACCATTTGATATGCGTACCAGCTTAGTCTAATACTCGTGATTCAGAAGTATCAGATCAAAATAATCCGCCAGCGTTTATATCAAGCGTATCAAGTGATTTGGTACGGATATAGCATTTAATACGCGTGTCAAGTGCTCGGTGTAAACTAGGCTATAGATACATCTCTTTCATATTTTATCAATTATCTTAGAATTTTATTTTTCTCTGATTTCCTCATTAATTCGCTTATGATTGTAATCATTATCATACGAATTTATCGTAATCTGAACTTAATTTTATTCAACGATCTTAATTATCGTTAATTATTATGTAAATCATCATGAAGTAAAAAATTAAATTAACAAAAATTTTATCTATAACTTTAACTTTTTTTTATTGAATTGTCATAACTCTAATATTTTTCATTTTATTTTTCACCGTCTTATTTTATTCTCCTATTAATAAAAAAAAATGTGCGGATTGTCACGATATCTTTCCATTAATTACTTGCGGGTAATTTAACAGTTTAGAGTCATAATGGGTATTAAAATGAACAGAGACGACGCAGTAATTCCAATTTTTTTAATCCATAGGTATAAAATTTATTATGAAAATGTCTTTGAATTCATCGCATGCTGCTTAGATGTAAATATTTTAAGTAAAGCAGATCGCGTCTGGGAACGCACAAGTGGATGCTCTTAACAACTCGGTTGCGTCAACGCATACATGACAAGCTGGCTTTTGTGTTTCAGGTCCGCTTGTTGTCTGGGTTGAAGATTATCAAGCATTCGATACGAACACGACCAATCGATCCAGCGATGATCATACCTACGTTGACCGCTTGCGATTCAGGCAAGTCGCTGGTAGGTTCAAGTGTTCCAAGTGCGCAAAGTCATATCGATGGAAACATCATCTTGTGGAGCACATTAAAGCTTCTTGCGGCCAGGAGAAGGCGGAATGCTGCCCCTACTGCAGTTACAAGAGCAATCGCAAGTGGAATCTGAAATCGCACATGAAGAGGATTCATGCGAGAGTATAAGAGGCAGATGGCAAAATCATATTATCGATTATATTATTGATTGACTATGTTTCACAATACGTGTCTTCGCTTTGATGATCTTCAATAAAATAGTTGTTTATGTCACTCAGATCTGAGAGATTGTTGCTTATAACCTGGAATTAGTTCAAATCATCGTTCGTATTCTTAACGTTGTCCTGAAGTCACATCCTTGAAAACAAGAGCATAGTTTTTCAGAATATCCATATACTCTTTCCTTTTAATTACCTCGAGCGAAATTTTATTTTTCTCTCTTATTTATTTTTAATGTCTTGATTATTTAATATTCCATTTTATCATTTTCTTCAATTTTTCCCTGCGGATAGAGGAATATAAAGAGGAAATAAAGAGCAAGTGTGGTAGAATTTGTTTCGTCCAAGTGTTGAGAATTCTTCTGAGTATGTGTACTCTATTTGCGCCTCTTTCCTGTTTCAGGACCATTCATTTACGAGACTCCTTTACAAAGTGCGGCGAAATCGCGAATATTTATACGCGATTTGGAACAGGCGAGGAGAGCCGTTAACGCTGTCGCCAATGGAATGTCTTTGAGGAAGGCCGAGAAAATGTACTCCATATCCAAATCAGTTCTACATCGATACAGCAAACGGGGCATTCCAACGCGAGTGATTTACACGAAGTTCAAGAATTCTTAATGTTCAAAAAATATCGTAAATTTTTAAGGGGCGGTTGTTCCATTTTCGGATAAATTATGTGATGATGTATCTATTAGATAAACAAAAGAGTAAAAGAGTAAGAGAATAAGAACTGAAGTTTATCAAAAAGTGGAACAACCCAGTTTAAATGGCATAAAGTTCTTTGATCTTATTAGCACGACAAAAGAAATATATATATATATATTAAAAGTTTTTTTTTAAATCAACACGATATCATTATTTACATTTTCTCACCTCTTATGCAGTAGAATTGGATTAAATTTATATTATTGCATGAATTGTTTAACAATTCTTATATCCCAGTAAGCAAGAAACATTTTGGAAAATTTCAGCAACATTGTAGCAACGTTGTAACATTGCTACAATGTTACTGAAATGTTCCAAAATGTTTCTTGCTTACTGGGATATATTTGTGATTTATGAATGATAAGAATCGACATAACATTACATATAGTGTAATAACATTTCATATTATTACATTTTTGTTTCTTGATTGCAATCAATTCTATTTTTTATTAACAATGTAAAAAAAATATTGTAATCCAACAATCTAAATAATTTTTCATTAATTTAATATTCTATTTTTATCATATTAAATAATAGTTTTAGATTAAATAATAGTTGATAAAGAAATTTTGGCAATTAAAATAAATCGTAAACTTTTTTTTAAAGTATAGGATGTATTAGATGTACAGTCTCTGCAAAGAAAATTAAATTCGGAAGTATGTTCAATATTTAATTCAATAAATTATATACAATGAAAGTTGTGTGGATAAGATTATATTTTTGTAGTTTATTTATTTTATTTGTTATTTTTATTAACAATTAAAATTTAAAAAATGATTAAAAAATTTACATTTTTTAAAATAAGTACTTTAAATATTCAAAATAATTTATGTGCAAAGTTTCATTGCGATTTACTGATTAGTTACAAAGATATTGAACAAATAAATATTTTGTTTATTTACTGGACGACTAATTTATGCATCGTAATTTAACTCTACGTAAATAATTTTGAATACATAATATACTTATTTTAAAAAATTAAGATTTTTATCATTTATTTTATAATGCATTTCCATATAATTTTATTAGAGCACAGATTAAAAATATACTACTACATATTTAATAAAATAACTTATAATCCACATAGTAAACCGTCACCAAATTTGTCGTATTATTTTTAAACATGGTGTAGAATAATCTATGATATATCATTTTTTCATAATTTTGTTATCGTTTGAAAATATGTATAAAACATCCTCAATATAATTTTGTAATTGCATTTTCCATTTTGATGTTGTTTACGATTGTTCATGATTAATCGAATGACATTACTCTAGCATACGGAAAAACATTAATAAAAATTGGTCACGGAATTTTGGTTTTATGTTGTCTACTGTTTCATCCTTGTATATATTTGTGTTTTGTTGTTTATTTAGAATAATATGTTATTAGATTGAAGATTACAAAAAATAAAAATTTTAATAAAAATTGTAATTGTTATAATACGATAATAAATACACGATAAAAATAAATAAACACATTGGTAAATAAATAGAAAATATTAAACAGAAAAATTATCTCATCTAATTTTTTTTTCTTCTGCTTCTTGATGATCAATGTTTTAACAATTTCAAAATAACTTTCTCATTTTTATTATATTTTTATTATATATTTTTAATAATTGCAATTCATTTCAAGATGATTATTTTTAATGTTATTAATAATTAACTGTTATAATAAATTATATTTATGCAAGTTTTATCTAATTTGAACAGATTATCCATTAACTATTGATTTATCAAGAAAGAGTTTAATGGTAACAATTATTCGAGAATATGTGCAAATTTTTTAGTAAAGATCTTTATTAATCATTATGGATGTATTTGTTGCAGAAAAGTGCCATCCATTGTTGTCACGCAAATGTCCATTATGCAATAAAAAAATTAAAAACCAGTGGGTTCTATATCAACACATGAAGAGATGCAAAGAGAGTTGCCGAATGCCACCCGAATTCATGTGCGGATATTGCCCATACCAAACAGGGTTGAAGAGCAAACTTCTTAATCATATTAAACGTCACACTGTTCCTCTGGCTTTGCAGTTTTATCGCTTGAAATTCCTATTCTCGTCTTCTGATTCTGATTAATGTCAATTAAATTTGTATATAATGATGAATATGTTCAATCTTAACTGTTATGACAATTCGTATTTTTCAAAGTCAAAATTATTTGATGGCGATGTTCACGAAATATATAAAATAGTTGACGGAACTATTTATATAGTTTGACGGAATTATTCAATATCTGAAAAATACAACTTGTTGTATTTTTCAGTCCTTAATCGATATTTGAAACTATGAATATTATGAACTTTCTTTTAAAAGTCTTCAAACAATTCTATTGTACAAACATTCGAATTATTTTGAGAAATGTTATTTAAAACCAGAAATTTTTGACATTCTTGAAAAATCTAGAATGTTCCGAATGTCTAGAAAATCTTGAAGAACGTTTAAATATTCAAAACAATATTAAAAATTCTGAAAAGTAAAATTATTATCTATATCTTAGTGAGATCATGGGATAATGTAAAAATAATCTAACAATTTTTTATAAAAATAAAAATATATTATATAACTTTTAAATAATATATATAAAAAATATATATATAACGTAATATACATAAATATAATATATTTTCTATTCTATCGAAATTAGTATATTTTTTCAAGATATTCAAGATATTCAAATGACTTTTGACATATTCAAGATTTTCAAATATTTTTCAATAATTTTTTGGTTTTGAATAATATTTAGAATGACTCTAGATTTCTGTCATATATTCAGACTCGATGTGTCATTCTCAGACCCGTCATTCTTATTTATTCGAGACAATGATTATAAATGTGATCTAAATGCCAAAATCAATTTATTTATCGCGTTTATTAATTATTAAGATATTTATACATTGCTCTAAATACATCGTTCTTCTGCAAGACTTTATGTTAATCTTTTTTCATTTTCCTTCACTGTACATACAAGCTATTCGACGAAACTGACTGTTATGTAACTGAAAAATAATGTTCATGAAAAATTCGCCATTTATGAACTTAGCATGAAATGTATCTTCATTCAAATACGATTGTGAAAGTACAGATATGGTGGTTTGTTTGTTTAACGCGACACGTATTTCCTTTGGGACAGTCTAAGCTACGAGAGATAAACGAGTAAACACCCAGCTAGATCCTAAACATCATCGATGAGTCTTCTCTTCTCTATCCGCACGTTATGCACGAATTCGCGAGGAAGAGTCGCAGCCGCGTCCATGAACAATACTCTCTAACCGGGTATTCCTGTGTTCTTTTATTTTCCAGATGCGCG